TATAACAGCTAAGCAAAAAAACTTGATTGAACATCTAGACAAAAAAGAAAAAAAAACACACAAAAAGAAATCAAGTTTATAGGAGAAATAACACCCTCAACCAACAAGATCTAATTAAATTTTAAGGAACACTCCACCCTACAATAACAGTACACATGCGATTCAGGTGCACACAGAACAATACCAAGATATCCTGGGCCATAAATAAACTTCAACACACTTAACAAACCAAATGTGTTTTCTGACCATAATGAAACCAGATTATCAGTAACAGGAAGACAACAGAAAAATACCCAAACACTAAAATGAAACAACATACTTCTAAATAAGCCGTGGCTCAAAGAAGAAATCTCAGTGGAAATGAAAATAAATACCTTCAGCTGAACAAAAACACATTGTATCAAAATTTGGGGATCACTGCTAAAGCTGAAAGGGAAACTATAGCACTAAATACATTAGAAAAGGGTAAAATTTGCAAATTAACAATGTAAGCTCCTATCTTAAAATAATAGAAACAATGCCAATACCAAATTCTAGGAGGATGCAGAGAAACTAAATCACTTATTATTTGCAGGTGAAAATATAAAAGGGCACAGCCTCTCTGACAGACAGATTGACAGTTGCTTTATAACAACAACAACAACACACACACACAAGTAAACCTGCCACTACTATATAACCCAACAATTGTACTCCTGGGTATTAATCCTTGTAGAAATGGTGTGTGTAGGAACCGTATCTGACCGCTGTTGACTTCACAAGGTAAATAGAGGAACAAACTCAGTATCAGCCCAAGTCCAGTTCCTATGAGGTGGAGGTCAGACATGACATACCTGCCCACTCCAACCTTCTTTACCAATTCTGACACCAACCATCTCTTCCAAGGCACTCAGTTTCTCTTCCAAGTTCAAGAATCCATTGCAGTGGCCACACAGCACTCACAGATACACTCATGGTTATGGGGTTTTTTTTTTTAAGGAAAATAACAGGATCCAATTCAGGATCAGAAGATGCTCAGGATATAGTTCTTCCAGGAGCTCCTCTTCTCTGTCATACCCACAGGCAGGAAGGCCTCTTTCTGGTCCTCTGCCACACTGCCCTTTGACCTCTGCCTTGGTCAGGCAATGTTACAAAGATCCTTTAGCAGTGCCAATAAATGCTCAAAGGGCTCTCTAGTACACTATTGATGTCCGCCTGAAGGCATTCAGCTCTAGCTCAGTAGCAAACCTAGCTCCCCCAGTTAATGCCTGGAATGCACTCTGTAAGCAAGCCACTGCTTGGAGGTACTGTGCTTCGTCACTGCTTGGGCCAGGAAGCCCATTGCTCTATCTTGTGTTCTTGGTGCTGCCGCTGCCACTCTTCTACCACGTCTCTGGTGTTGCAGCTTTCTATGTCCCGGATCAAGGAGATTCAGCACAGGCGTCTCGGGGTCCACAGGATGCACACCACTCCTGGCTCTTCTTTCTTGATAGCAGTATGATCCCCCTTCCTGCTTCTGAGATGGCCATTTAAAGCCTAGTAGGATGGCAAATCAGACCATTCCCCACATTAGTGTTCTATGCACCCTGTTTGCATGGTCCACTGAGTCATGTGGTGAGAGTTTCAGACTATGGCTGGAAGAGCCTTATCAAAGAATCCACTGTATCACAATCTTAGAGAAATGAAAACTTAACACTGACACAAAACTCTGTGCATCCATATTAATAGCTTTATTCATAGTAGGCTCAGACTGGAAACTACCCATCTGTCCCTCAACGTTGACTAGTTGAATGGAGCTATGGTATATCCATGGCATGAAATAATACTAATTATAGAAAGACAATGACCTGCTGATACCCAACAAGTTGGGTGAATCACCAGAGAATCATACTGAGTGGAAAATGCCAATCCCAAAAGGTTCTTTGCCACATTTCTATACTATGCTTGAAAGGACAAAACTGCAGAAATACATACAGATTAGTGATTGTCAAAGGTTAGCGAGGGATTATTGATGGGTGTGGTCATCAAAGGGCACCATGAGGGATCCTTGTGGTGATGGAACTATCTGTATATTAACTGTTCTTGTATAAACTTCAACATTCTAATTACAGTGTGCTAGTGTTCTATATTTTCGCAAGATGTTATTGTTATGGAAACTTAGTAAAGGACACATGATATTTCTCTCTGTCTCATTTCTTATAACTGTGTACAAATCTATTGTTACATCAAAATAAGAAAAACTTTAATTGAAACAAGGATATAAATATACAAACTCCCCCAAGCAATTTAAATGTGAACTAAAAAGTTATCCTCTTCCTATTTCAAGATTAGTGACATTATTAATAAGCTAGAACCAGTATAACTAAATTGACAATCCAATCATCTGACTTTCTGAATGAACCTTTTTGCTTACTTAGAATTGGTTCTTTAAACTTCTTGTGATCTAATTTTTGAAATAATGACTCTAAGGTGTTTTCTACACTGCTTAGCACTAAGTGAAGGTGAGTGGTGGTACCCAGAAGAGTGGTGAGTGGTAGGGAATCCTTTATCCAGTCATTTGAAGCTACTGCCAGTTTTCTAAGGTTGCCTCTTCATTTGGCTTACACTGTCTTCTGTCCATCTGTTAAGCCTTTCTTGATCTTCCCAGCTCTGCTGATGTCGCTCCCTTTGTTTCTCTACTAGATTTTGTGCTTTTGCTAGTACTGCTGTGTCCATCACAGGAAACAGACCTTCTTGGTAGCAGGGACTGGGTCTGATTCACCTTTGCCTTTGCAACACCCAGCAGAATGAATATTTCAAAAGCATTGTTCACAGGGTTGAATTGAAAGTGCAGGCAGAATATACAGTCATGACTTTAATATTTGTGTTAAAAAATTTTTACCCCGAAGTATAACCGTATTTTATACATATGCTGTCATTACATGTCATCAAGTTGGTTCTTAATGATCACATCTGTAGAGTTTCTGAGGTTGTAAATCTTTGTGGGAACAGAAAGCCTCATCTTTCTTCCATGGAACCATTGCCAACCTTGTGGTTCATGGTCCAGTGCTTATCCTACAGAGCCACCAAGGGCGCTTCAAAAAGTTCTTAGAAAAATTGCATTATCTTGTAATTCCATTTTTCCATGAAGTTTTGAAGCCTCCTCATATTATTATAGCTTGTTATTTAAAGAACTTCTATGGTGGGTAGTTGTTCGTTTAAAATATGGGTCCAGCTATATGGACTCTCTCTCTGAAAAAGCGTATTGCATCAGTTGGAAGCCAGCATAGTATGTGCCAATAAGGTTATGCTGAAGCAGTTAAAATGCTAGAAAGGCGTCTTTATTGTAAAGAGTAGTATCATGGCTGGAACATGGGAAGGAATTTTATCCCCGGACCATGATGATCAAGTCATGTATAAATTATGGATCCAGTTCATAGCACCTGGTTTGAGGGGGACACTAGAAAGTGTAGTGTGCACAAAGAAAATTAGCTAGGTTAGTGGTTAGTCCAGAAAGCTTGGCAGGTGAGGAATGTGTGTAAACTCTGGAATTGTTGATTATAAAGAAGAAGGTCTGATCTTGCTTCATTTATATATCTGAAGAGGTGTCACTTAGAAAAGCCATTAGTCTTGAGACTCATTCAGATAATATGAATGTGTTGCCCCACATGCGTCATTTATATATTAAAATCTTAGTGCTATTGTTAAGTGCTGTCAAGTTGGTTCCAGCTCATAGCAACCCTGTACAAGATTTCTGAGCAGTGGCTGGTGGGTTTGAATAGCCAACCTTGGCTTGCAGTTATTCTAAAGTGCCACACCAGGACTCCAAAATCATAGAACAGTGAGTAGCAATTATAAGAAAGTAAATATATATATATATATATAATATATATCTTAGCGGTTAAGTTTTGCCTGTATAACAACAAATGTGTTGGATCTTGAATATTTGTAAACTAGTCTAAAATCCACCTCTACTGGTAGAATCAAAAGCACTGTGTATATGTGTGTGTGTGTGTGTGTGTGTTGGTACATGCTAGGGATGTATAGTGCTGTGTTTTAGTGAAGCTGCTGGTAAAATGCTTCTTTTTAATGTCACCCTCAAGGTCTGAACAGAGGCCCCCCACCCTCACCCCCGGTAGCATGGTGGTTATCTGAAATGTCCAAACCCTGATATGTTCTGAGAGTTTCTGCCTTGTGCATTGCTGTCTTTGAGAAATCCACATACCCCAAAGCACTCATTAAATAAATAACAATTTCTTGTATGCTTCTTTATTCTTTCCTTCTCTTATTTCTCTCTTTCATGGATAGATGGGTGCATTCTCCACCAGTTGGCCAGAAGTGCATTGTCTCTGATATAAGTCTGGGTCAAACAGAATTTTCTGTCCCTGTATCTGAGTCCAATCCTCCACATTGGGGTGCTCTTCTCCAATCTTCCTCCACTCCCCCCTTTCTGTCATCTTCAACTGCTGAAGGGGTCTCCTTTGTGTTTACAGTAAGTTGGGGTCACACTCAGAATGAATATCCTCTTATGGGTAGCCCTGCAAATGCTCCAGTCAACTAACTCACCAGTCTTGTGTGGAGCATCTGTTTTCTTCTTTAATGGAGGGAGTGTAGGACCTACACTTCATTTGCATTTGCCAGCATCATTCACAGTCTCTCAAAGACCTATCTTTGCCCTCTTTTCCCATTTTGTTCCTCCTTCCTCTTCCATTGCTCTGACATGATGTATAGTCTTTGTTTTCTGGTGGTTTTTTTCCATGAAATGATGATTCAGAGTCTTCTCTGTAGTCTCCTGGAGGTCTTCTTGACTCCTGCCTACCCTTAGCACCCTGGAGAGAGACTCTTCTAGAGTGCTTGAAGGAAACTGATCAGACTAGACACTTGACATTTTCCACTTGTCCTTTTTGAGTAATCAATCCCAGGCCTTTTAGAAGGCAAAAAATCAGACCAGGAGCAAAGTGCATGTGTTTGCATAAGCAATAACAGCTCAACGTGTGCTCAGGTTCTATAGCTGAGGACAAGCCTAACTTATTCATTTACAGCTTCTTTTATTGCAGAAAAAGGAGTGGACGTGGGACGAGACCAAGATGCTGGTGATGCAGGACCCTATCTACAGGTAAGAACCACACAAGGCCCACTGGCAGACCCCAGACTTCATGCCTAAGAGGATCGCAGAGTCTCAGGACCCACCTGTCATCCCCTGGAACCATTTGTCTAGCTGGTGGATCCCTAACAGATTTAAACAGATCTCTTCTGCTTTTCCCTTCTGGGACTTGTTGTTTCAATAGATGTAAGTACAAGAAGCAAGTTTGCCTTATTGTAAGATTAAGAGGAAAATTATTGTTGTGTTGAATTACACTGTCTAAAGAAGCTGTAAGGAATTTGCTTAATCCAAACCATTCCATTTATAATTTGAAGACTTTTCATTTTCTTTTAAGTAGACTTCCATAATTGCAAATATTTTTATCACAGTGAGTTTTTCCATCACTCAGTTCTCACATTTTTTTCAAAGATTTTTTTTTATGTTATACCTTCCTGGTCCTTCATAAATTGAGCACTTAAAGGAGTTGTAATCATTTATGAAGGCACAAAACCACAAATTTAGTCTCCAGAAATTGCTTCCACAGTAAGGCTGGCATGATTCCTAAAGAGATGACATTACAGTACTGCCGTTCATGTCTGAGCCCTTGGACAGAGCGACATCTGATGATGATACAGACAGAGAGCCAGAGCCCTCCCTCTTTCTGAGTAATCAACCCTAGGTTCCTTAGAGAGCAAGAGTCAGGTCAGAACCAAAATGCATGTGTTTGCATAAGCAGTAGTGTGAATTATCCATGATAAATTGTCTTCGATCTCGGCTGACCATCTCTACCACCTCCTCTTCATATTTGTGACACTGGGAGAATGGGTGTTAGCTATTCTTTTGGGATTGTGAGGACCTAAACTTGGCTTTTGTTTTGTCTTCTCTGAAATGATTGCCATAGCTTTGTTGACAAAGTAGATAAGGGTTGGAACTCAACTATGAAGGTAACAGCGTGGTGCCCCTGCCTTCTAGACAGAACTGATGCCTGTGAAATGGAATTTATGTCAATCCATTCACCAAAAATGCTCACATTAGGCATTGTGGTAGGTAATTTGACAGATTATTGAAATGAGTAATTCATGGTCCCTGTTCTCAGGGAAAGTAGCCCTGTCGGCACAGTAGGTTAAGTGTCAGGCTCCTAGTCACAAGGTCAGTGGCTCAAACCCCACAGGTGCTCCATGGGAGAAAGATAAGGCTATCTATTTCTTAAAAAAACAGTTCTACTCTATCCGATAGGGTCACTGTGAGTCATAGTAGACATGATAGTAATGATTTGAGTTCTCAGGGAGTTTTTAGTCCAGTAGAGCAATGGAGTTTTGAACATACCACTCTAGTGCAAGATAGCATGTTAGACAAAATTAATTTCTTCTCCTAGGTAATTTTAGAAAATTTTATATCTCTTGAAGTAGTTGTTACATTATATTACTGTTATTTTTTAAATATGTCTGATGTTACCACCAGACTATGAGTCTCAAGAGGGAAAGAATTATACCCTACTCACCTTTATATTTCTAGCAGTACGTTTGGACCACAAGGTCAATAGATCAAGCTCACTAACTGTCCTTCGGGAACCCTACATACACAGGGTTGCAATGGATTGGAACTGACTTGATGGCACATAACCACCACTAACCAGCCTTTGTTTACCCACTACCATCAAGAAAAAAAGGTGAGGAGTGAAGTGTGGCCTTTGGACTTAGGGTCCCTGTACTGTGAAGTTCCTAGATCCGGGGAAGATTGATGCCAGGATGCATGGAGATCTTCAAGGAATGCTAGGATGTTTACGGCTGTCTCTCTTCATCTCTGCCATTTGTCTGCCAGTTTGTCATACTGTGGTGGCTTGCGTGTTGCTGTGATGCTGGAAGTAATGCCACCGGTATTTTAAATACCAACAGGGACAAGCATGGTGGACAGGTTTCAGCTGAGCTTCCAGACTAAGAAAGACAAGAAAGAAGGAGAAGTAAACACTTCTGAATGTTTACCCACTGAAAACATTAGGGATACCAGTGGAAGAAGGTCATTTATTCCCAGAACATTGAAATATGCTTTATCGCACCAGAATATTGTGATAATATGGTGTCTAAAGATGAGCCACTTAGGTTGGAAGGCAAACAAAATACAACTGGTGAAGAGCTGTCTTCTCAAAGTAGAGTGGACCATGATGATGTGAATGGAGTAATGATTCCGGGACCTTCATTTATTGCTGGGGCTGATCTCAAAATGAGGAGAAACAACTGTCAACATTCACTAATAATCAGATCACGAAATGTATGAAATATGAAACTAGAAAAATTAGGAGTTTTTTTTAAATGAGATAGAATGCATAAAGATTGATATCCTAAGCATTAGTGAGCTGAAATGTACTGGTGTGGGCTATTTTTAATCTGACAATCAAGTGGTTTGTTATGCCAGGATTGACAAATTGAAGAAGAAAGGCATCTCACTCATCATCAAAAAGAACATTTAAGCTCTATCTTGAAAAGAAAAGAAAAAAAAAAGATCTATAAGTATAATACTGTCTGTGATAGTATAGTATCCATATGCCTCCAAGGAAGACCAGTAAATGCCACTCTTTTCCAAATTTATGTACCAGCTACTTAAGCCAGTGATGTTGAAATTGATGAATTCTACCAAATTCTTCCGTCTGAAATTGTTGAAATATGTATTGATAACTACTGGTGATTGGAATGCAAAGGGTAGAAACAAAAGGAAGGATCAGTATCTGGGAAAAATGGGGTTGGTGACAGAAACGATGCTGGAGATCACATGATAGAATTTTGCAAGACCAATTACTTATTCATTCCAAATACCTTTTTTAAACAACATAAAAGACAGCCATACACATGGTCCTATGCATTTCATACACCAGATGGAATGCACAGGAATCAAACTGACTACACATCTGTGGGAGGAGATGATGGAAAGTCTTCATATCATCACCCAAAAAAAGGCCAGGAACAGACTGTGGAACAGACCGTCTATTACTCATACGCAAGTTCAGACTGAAGCTGAAGAAAAGATATTAAAAGCCCACAAGAGCCAAAGTTTGACCTTAAACATATCCCACCTAAATTTAGAAGTCACCTCAAGAACAGATTAGATGCATTAGATACTAATGACTGAACACCACAAAAAGCTGTGATATGGCATCAAGAACACCATACTGGAAGAAAGCAAAAGGTCATTAAAAAGACAAGAAAGAAGGAAGAAAACAAAACCCATGTTGAGGAGACTCTGAAACTTGCTGTCCAACATAGAGATGCTAAAGCAAATGGAAAAAAACAAAAAAACTGAGGCGGTAAAAGGACCAAACAGAAAACTTCAAACAGCAGCTGAAGAAGACATAGTCAAGTATTATAATGAAATGTACAAAGACCTGGAGTTAGAAAACCAAAAGGACGAACAAGCTCAACATGTCGCAAGCTGAAAGAGTTGAAATATTGCAGTGTTGAAGGATTTTGTGTGCAAAATATTTATTAAATGATACAGAAAGCAACAAAATAAGATGAAAAGAATACAAAAGAAGTCACTATACCAAAAAGAAATGACGGATTTCCAACCATTTCAAGAGGTAGCATGTGATCAAGAACCAATGATAATGAAGGAGGAAGTCCAAGCTGCACTGAAGGCATTGGCAAAGAGCAAGGCTCCGGGAATTGATAGAACACAAATGGAAATCTTTCAGTAAACTGATGCTGCACTGGATGCACTCACTCATCTATGCCAAGAAATTGAGAAGACAGCTACCCAGCAAACTGATTGAAAGAGACCCTTATTTGTGCCCATTCCAAAGAGAGGTGATCCAATGGAATGCAGAAATTATCTGACAGTATCTTTAATATCACATGCAAGTAAAGTTTTGCTAAAGGTAATTCAAAAACAGCTGCAACCGTATATTGAAAGGGAACTACCAGAGGTTCAAGCTGGATTCACATGAGAATATGAAATGACAGATACCATTGTTGATGTCAGATGGATTTTGATTGAAAGCAGAGAATACCAAAAAGATGTTTACCTGTGCTTTAATGGCTATGCAAAGGCTTTCAACTATGTGGATCATGGTAAACTAAGGATGCCATTTCAAAGAATGAGTATTCCAGAACACTTAATTGTGTCATGAGATGCAGTCACTTGAATGGTACAAAAGGATACTGAATGGTTTAAATTAGGAATAGTGTGTGCCAGGTTGTATTCTTTCACCATGCTGGACAAATAATCTGAGAACCTCTGTTATATGAAGAAGAACATGGCATAAAGATTAGAGGAAGACTCATTAACAACCTTTGATATACAGATGATACAACCTTGCTGAAGACTTATTGATGAACTTACTGAAGATCCAAGACCACAGCCTTCAGTATG